TTGTACATCTTGATGTCGAAGTGGGCCCTCTTTCTTGGGTTGTAGGTAGCGAAGCGGAGACACCCGTAAAACTTCAGCAGGGAGTCGTTGACGGAAATGTCCCGTTGAGGAACGTAGACAGTGGCAAACTTCTGAGCAAGAGGGTCGACGACTGGGCGCACTTTGAAGAGGCAGTCAGTGCAGTCATCTGACATGGCGGTGTTATCGTTGAAGTGCAGGGACTGCAGGATGGCAAGGAAGCGATCTCGGGGCATGACGGACGGGACAGCTCATCTTCAGTAGTGGGCCGCTGGACCAGAAGCTATGAAGGGTGGGGTGCTTCGCAATTCCTGTCATTATGCAAAGGCCCAGAAAGGCCTTCAGTTGTCTAGTGTTCAGATCAGTCCATGATCGCATGTGCACCAATGTCGTAGTGGGCCTCTGCATGGCATACCGGTTGGTCTCTTGCACTATCTTGTTGTAGAGAACGTCGTCAAAAAACAGTTCAAAGACTTCACTGCAGGTCGAGCTGCGATGTAGGCGGGGATCGACGGCACCACCATTACCGGTGAAGCCGTACTTTAGCGGTGTACTGTCTTCATCTGTCCACCGGAACGGTGCGGCACTGCTGCTGGTTGACGCAGCGGTCTGTGTACGGGACCGTCTCTTACGCTTGGCATATACAGCCAAGGGTACATCACTGTCAATTTCTGTACTTGACTGTACTTGAGCAGGTGACGGCGGTGATGAAGAAGACGAAGAACCTTCGTCTAAACTCAGATAAAACTCTCTTTCACTGGAAGAACTGGACTCTCCGGATATAACTTCAGCCATGTTGTCTGTGCTCTGAATAACACAATACCCAATATGAACACATGTAGCCACTGCACGGCATTTTTATTCTCAAGCAGCGAGGGCCGTGCCCTGTCAGTCAATGTGGCAAGGGCCAGCAGCGCCCAGGCCAGGTCATTCATGGGGCGCAGGTGCATAATGAGCCCGCACAGCCCGCGCAGCCCGCGCTTTGTCTTAAGTGCAGTGCAACGATAATTCGCTGTGAGCGCCCGGCAGCACGAACAAATGCGCTCTGCACAAACAAAACACGGATTACCTCTGCTAATTTCAGCGCTCTGCGCTGAAAGAATACAGGGATTGATTGGCAGTGCCCAGCAGCTCTCAGTGGCTCGTACTTTTATTCCAGGCTTTTATAAGTTCGGTCACCCCGGCTATAAAATAAAGTCCCAATTCTCCGGCCCCAGCAACCCATTATTGCCTTGGACCAATTTATTTACAGCCAATGATGGCTTAAACTTTTTAACTGACAGCCCCAAACTTTTTAAGAAATGCCCAGCAATTTTTTTTGTTTTATAGTAAAGATCCAATTTCGGAGTCCCCGGCCACGAATATAAGGCCTATGGCTCCGGTACCGGAGCCCCCGGCTGGAAGTGGTTAAGAACATTGAGTCATTTTCACCGTTGCAGTAAAATTTTGACTTGACAAATTTACTTAGCATGTAGTCTCTGTTGCATACTTTCCAGTCTGCACTATGAATGGAGATTTTCTTTAGTAAAGAAGGGTTGTGTTTTGGTGCAACAGTTTGCTGCCTTTGGATTATCCAAACAGCTGTCAATGAACAAACAATGTATGTCACATGCTGCAAACATACATTTAAAGTGCCCTCTTCTGTTTTTGATGTCGTATCATTTTGAACATGAGCACCTAATAAACATACAGTAGGTTGATCTCACTGACCTATTGGACTCTCTGCATGCATTCAGTATTGTCTTAGGCAAAGACATTAGTGCCCCATACACTATTTCAAGCGGACTTTTTTTCCTTTCTGTAAAATGAACGTGATTGTAACAGATGATACAAGACCATCTTATGAAATAAATGTGAAAAAATGGCACAGCTTTCCTATTTATGACAGGAAAAAAGTCAAAATCATGGGCCTCGGTGAAGGCTTGTATCCCCGATATCAGAACACTTATTTAGTATTAATGATGTACAAGTGACCCTGAAAAGTCATGTTGAAAGACAGGAGTAAAACTATGTACAGTGTACATGAATAGGGTGCAAGTTGAATGGTTTGGGCAAGTGTTGTGTAACAGTGGAGGCATGCTCAAAATGCCATGTGATCATGTCCACTCATGGATCCATCCTTCAGGTTTGAATTTGTAATTTTTTGCATTTGATGAAACATACCCAGGTCTTGTGTACTTGATGGTTTCGGACAGAATTGCCTGCAAAACACAGACTTGGCCATGTATTCCTCATGGCTTCCAACATGTCTGTGACATGTATATTCACATTAATTTGTGCCTTGACAAAGCTTGTCAACACGAGGCTAGATTTCGCAATGCCTTGTGGTTGCTGATGAGTGACATGCCTTTAACATGTTTAAGATTTCAGACTTCTTATACCATAGAGAAATATGTTCATATGAATCTATTGTCTGCAGAAACAAGTTATTTAACTTAAGAGAGTGATAAAGGGAAAATGTGGACTGCCGCATTAATTG